GTTTGTTGACCTATATCTTTTGACCTATATTATGTAGGAGCTTTACATTTCGAACATAACGTAACATTCTGAATATCAATTAACCTATGCAAAAAAAATTGAAGTGGGCGTGGCACATCCGGGTTAAATTACTCATTATTGACATTTTTGGCCAGGGGCATAACTCGCAAAGTATACATTTGTTCAAAATGGAACTTTGCATACAATTACCTCATATATTGAGCCACTTTATCTTAGAATTTCAATTGTTTTTGCTTCATAGTTCAAAAAAGGAACAGGTTTTGGAATTTAAAAATTTTCAATTTTTGACCTTGACCTTTGTTGACCTTGACCTTTCTAACATCAAACGTCATTGGCATTGGCTATCTATTTATACTTTTATATTTGCCGTCCTATGTCAACTTCCGGTTTTATAGTCGTTAGCAATTTGAAATTTTGATGGCGTATATCTCTTGATCCTGACCTTTTTAGACCTTCTCCTTTACAAGATCAAAGGTCATTGACCTTGGCTATCTGCTGATACTTTCATTTGTGAGGTCTGACGTCCACTTCCGGTATTACAATCTTCTAAAAAATGAAAATTTCTCAACTTTAGACCGTTCTTGCGCTTGATCTAATTATCGTGGAAGGTTGATTTTTTCAGGTTCTTTTGCATTTTGCTACATTTGCAAAGTCCCACTCTGTGCCACGAGTGGCTCTAGTATATAAGTGTTTTAACATCATAATGTCTTCTTTGTTTGATTTCGTTGTTTAAACATCGTGTCGTCATTCTTATTTTCTTCCACGAAAGTTTCCATCTCAATCGCTTTCATTTCATTGTAGTAACCTGTCGGTTTCTGTTCCTTGTTTGTTTTAATATAATTCAGATTTTTATTCATGAGACCTCGGTCACTGATTTTTATTTTAAAACACTTTTCATGTGTGTTTTTCATGTTCTTTTTAAATCGTTGTTGAATGTTCATAATCGAAATTCTAGTTTTTGGCTTAAAACGCCGATTACTGGTGTATGATTACTTCTTATAATTCACAGAAATTTACTTGTTTTCTACTGTATATATAACACAAGTTCCTGTTTCGGTGTTTGTTATTTGTAAAATTAACATTGTTATCTTTATTAGTAATAACAAGTGTCATATGTTCTTTATATCAGCGGATGTACAAATTTCACTATATATTTGTATTATTGGATATGGCTTTACGATAACAATGGCTATTAAAGAAATTCAATGCCTTTTCTACATCAATACATGGTGCAGTTAATAGTAAATAATAATTATCAATATGTACATGTATCAACAAACTATTATTAATGTCTGTCTTTCAGTTTGTGTAAAGTAATTAGCTCTTTAGCTTCCATTGTATTTTATTCCATATCTTTAATTGTATTTGTATCATTACAGCACCAGAACCAACTCCTATACCTATTACGTTGGCACCCCGAGTTAAGAGTAAGTTTCAAACTATCTTGTCCCCATTACTGTACATGAAAAGCATAAACACTTTCCAAATCAGGTATTTTAAAGACTATAATATATCGCGAAATTGTAGAATATGCTAATTGTAGCGATTTAAGAATAAAAATTGCTGTCGGTATTATTGAAAATATCAGACCTATTTGTGCACATACGGTAAAATTATCGAAAAGCCCTTTGCGTGATATTTACCTCGTGTCTTTTGCTTCAGGCTGTGCTGATACTCAGATAGATTTAGTTGTTATTCTTGATGCCTCGACCAGTGTTACAGAACCCAACTTTAAATTGATGCTGGAATTCTTAAAAGATTTCTTATCGATAGCGGACATAGATCGAGCCAATGTTCGTGTTGGTGTAGTTATCTACAGTACCAAAGATCACATTCAGTTCCATCTGAACCAGTATAGATCTAAACAAGATATTTATAATGCTATAGACAATATCCCATACCGATTTGGTAGTACCAATACAGCTGATGCTCTTAAAACAATGCATAGAGAAATGTTTACACAACGTAATGGTGATCGTCCTGGTGTAGATAATATTTGTATTCTTATAACTGATGGTATCTCTAATATCAATTCTCGAAGAACAATTCCTGAAGCTGAGGCAGCTCGTAGTAAAAATATCCATATCTATGTTATTGGTATTGGTTTAACTGATTTAAGAGAAGTTGATGGTATAGCTAGTAAACCAGTAGAAGAAAACAGGTTTGCTGTTCAAGAGTTTGATGAACTGACTCCAATGAAAGACAAAGTTTTCTCATCACTATGTTTCTGCAAGTATTTTTGAATTATCTATGTCAATGTTCATATACTTGTGTTGTGTTGTGTTGTATTTGTCCTGTATATTGTCCTGTTGGTGTTTCGTCTCTGTTTTGAAATCATTTGTTTAGGACTCCATCAATAATAGAGATTCTTTTCTCCGCTATGGACCTAATACAAACAGCAAACTTGTTTCTATTTTTGCAGATTTATTTTTCCTATTCGATTGAGCTGAAATATCTGTGCTAGATCGGTTCCATTGTTGTGCTATTGGTTTCTTCTGCAGTCTGTAAACTCTAATCCTCTGTCTTCAAATGCTTTTAATATTTGTTTCTTACTTTGAATATTGACATTTCTGTGACTTTCTTGTGTTTTGAATTCGTTGAAGGTCTCATGTTCGGTGTATGACAACTATGTGATAGTTAATCATAGCCGCAATAATGCTTTCAACTTCCATCGGGTATCACCTATTTAAATTAAGCCTTGATTGTGAGTGGATATTAATCGTTCTGTTTTTCAGAAAATATGTATTCTGTTGTTTGTTTTGTCTTCTTCATCATGTTAACGATGAAAAATGTAAGATTATGTGTAAAGCAGCTAATATGGTTTCATTTTCGAGATACATGACCCTTTTTATTAACTCTGACACGGACCACGCTGGATCTCTGAATTCTTGCATACCTCTGAGTATAAACATCTGTTTGTTTCAGAGTTCGCTTATCTTATGTCAACAATTTTGTTTCTTTGTAATTTCTATTTTTTTATCTATTGTTTGTTTTGTTTTGTCAGTTTGTTTTTTGCTTATATTTGTGTGGGTGGTCATATTACTTGCCGACATTTTAAATTTTAACTTGAATACAAACCCGACACAATCCATGGTGTCAAGGATTAAACACAATCCTTCATATCTGTCATCTGTTTCATATTATTTATTGTTTTAATTTTGTGAGTTCGAAATGTACTTTATCTACAATTGTAAATAAAAAAAGGTGAAATGTACAAAAAATATTAAATAAATAAATTCAATAAACAATATAAATGAAAAAGTAAAAAAAAGATTGATTAAGAAATGATCATAATGTCCGCCGTTACTATATACTTTACAGAATCTTAATATGGAAATGGCATGGATTAAATACAGGAACCACAACGTGGTCAAATACATCACAGTCTCAAACAATGATTTATATTTAAGATTTCCCAATCAATATAAAAGTGTATAATCTATGTAGAAGATTTTCCAAGCAATAGGTCTGCTATTTTCTGCAAAAGAAAGACCTTTGCTGACTTTCTTGCATTTGTCTTGTATGCTCATCAAATATATACAAATATATTGTCGGCATTCTTGTACGTCCATCCGTTCGTGTTCCTTGATAGACTAGATTTGTTGTAATTTTGATGAAACTGTGTATGGGTATATTTATTAGATCGTGGTGAATTCTATGCCAACTATTTATAGGCTGAAATGACGGTAGTCTTGATATTCAAATATTATAAAAACAATAATCATTAACAATAATGACCAAAACATATTTGTAACAGTTTTGAGAGCGAAAAATGAAGAAATTTTATGTTATTTTATCAAAAAATCGATGTGTTTTCTTTAGATTTATGCGTTTGTCAATCTGCTTATAAAAATTATGCAAAAAGTTCTAACTATCGTTGAAAATCACGTGATAGCAGACAGTAGTACGTTAACCATAAGACCACAAACTGTCTTGAAAATTCATCTAAGAGATAGATGGGAATAAATTATCCCTGCCCTTGGTTTTTATTACAACTATTAAAACAATAATTTCTTAATATTGTGGGTGTATTTTGCAATGCCTTGCCTTGTTTTTAAAATTTTGCTTTCAAGACGCTTAATGCATGTTCGCATTGCGCAATGTTCTTTGCGCCACTTTTGCTACCGCATGTATCGCCGTTGGAGAAATTTACTTTCTAAGTTGGTAACCGTTTTAAGAAGTAGCCAAATTGTTCTTTCAGCACCAGAACCAACTCCTATTCCAATTACGCTGGCTCCCGCAGGGAAGAGTAAGTCGTTGTTTGTTATATTGTAGAATTATTTCTTGCCACAAGATGACTTTACATATCAAGGACACGCCACTTCGCACCCTATCTTGAGATGATGTATGCAGATCTGAAATATAAGTACAAAAAAAGTTTTACATATTTCTGAAAATAAATGGAATCTAGAAAATCCAATCTGACAACGATAAATTTTTGGGAAGTGTGCATTGTCTATTTTCGTGCATTTCCTGAATTCCCTTTACACAACGTTGCATAGTGAATCCTCAAAAGATGAAAACAGATAATTTTGTCACCAGAATTGAAAGGCACATGGTCTATTTCTTATGTAGGTTGTACTGAAACCCCAATAGATTTAGTCATCATTCTTGATGCCTCCACAAGTGTAACAGAACCCAACTTTAAATTGATGCTGAATTTCTTGAAGGATTTCCTATCAGGAGCGGACATTGATGGAGGCAGAGTTCGTGTTGGTGTTATAATATATAGTACTAAAGACCACGTGCAGTTCCATCTTAACCGGTATAAAACCAATCAAGATGTTTATAATGCTATAGATAATATCCCATACCGATTTGGTAGTACCAATACAGCTAATGCTCTTAGAACAGTGCATAGAGAAATGTTTACACAACGTAATGGTGATCGTCCTGGTGTAGATAATATTTGTATTCTTTTAACTGATGGTGTCTCTAATATCAATTCTCGAAGAACAATTCCTGAAGCTGAGGCAGCTCGTAGTAAAAATATCCATATCTATGTTATTGGTATTGGTTTAACTGATTTAAGAGAAGTTGATGGTATAGCTACTCGACCAATTGAAGAAAACAGATTTGCGGTGAAGGATTTCAACGAACTGACTCCGATGAAAGACAAAGTGTTTAAATCTTTATGTTTCTGTAAGTAGTCTACTTCTGAACTGGCTTTGCTGATCTGTGATGAGCAAAATAATAAAGACATTTCTTACTTAATCAGATAGATAATTTAAGTTCTAAATGTATTTAATTTTATTAATAGCTCAATCACCACAGCCAGTCCGTACAACCACAGGTAAGGTGCCTTGCTGTACCCACAATTCCGTGCTTTAGATTTAGCAAAGCGAATCCAAACCTTTTCAAACGATTACCCACTTTTCAATTTCCCTGTCTTGCAGTAGAAATGGTATTGCGTAGGATAGCGCAGTATCAGAATGGATATTTGCTTATAATAGAATCATATCATTGGTAGGAAGAAGAGTTTAATTGACACAAAGACTAACGTGGAATATTTTGCTATATAAAACCTATGTAGACTGATGAAGGGTTATAGCACTGTAATAGTTACATGTTCTACCAATGAAAAATAGAAACAACAGAGGATTTGTAGTCTATAGAAGCAAATTGAAATGCAACATGATGCATGAAATAATTCACATGGCGAATGCTATAAACGAACGAAAGGATAAAGTAAAAAACAAAAGATAGAGCACAAATGGACACAGGCGATAAATTGCATATCAATGTAAATATGATGCACGATAATAGCATGGAATTGTTCCTGTACTTCTGTATCCGAAATTGGATTTGTAGCGTCAGATCTAAATAAAACCTGTGACATTTGACCGACATTAGAATCTGTAGCGATTGACCTAAATAGAATCAGTATAGTAATTGACCTGAATAGAATTGTAGCGGTTTACCTATAAAGAAAACATAACAATTTCCTTAAAAGTAGCAATAGCTTACACTTGATCTGTAGCGTTAGAACATAGAATCATCATAACCTTGTAGCTGAAGAACAAAATAAAACGAAATACTGCTAATGCCGGCTATGTGCTTAAATACGTAGAAAGTGTAGTTTAAGCTTACCCCTCTTCACTTCCTTCAAAACAAAATGAAGCTTAAAACTATAGATAATCCATTGTATTTTTGGACCTCGTGTCCTTTATATAGTTTACATGAATGATCGGAATAATTTACCCGGTTATTTTCCCGATTTCTGTAGAACCATGCGGATAAAATATTTAGTTGTACATTTCATTTCACACAAATGAAATATCTAATCAGCATGCAACTGTAGCTTTAGTTCATCAAGTTCCTCGACTATTACTTTGAAGAGAAATGATGATGATCCATAAAAAAACAACTATGGTTTCATTTTCTATATTAGCAAACCATGTTATGAAGCATACTTTGGTTTTCATGGAAATAATATACCATTTAACTTGTTATCCAATGCGCAATGTTGTTGGACTGTTTCTGCTCTAGAATTACTAGTATTTCCTATGCTAACGTTGGTTGGTTTGATTTTAATCAAATTGTTCTTTCAGCACCAGAACCAACTCCTATTCCGATAACTTTAGCTCCCGCAGTGAAGAGTAAGTCGATATATCGTTCGATTTAATGAGATAATTTGCATGTAATATTATACTGCATGTATCTGAAATAACATAGGAGCTTTCCTTTGAAAGATTTGCCTCGAACGGATGTGGTCATGGTCATGCCTGTACTAATCCGTTCGCAACTTCTATGCTTTTGAAAGGTTTTTACGGAGGACATTGAGATGCGCTTGATCGGTTTATGATCTGTGATGATGATCAAAGATGAATTTGATAAGGAGAATTGATACACGCCTAATTGATTTTGGTAACCACGTTTGAAATATGCATGGTCTATTTCTCATGTAGGTTGTTCTGGCACCCCAATAGATTTAGTCATCATTCTGGATGCCTCCACAAGTGTAACAGAACCCAACTTTAAATTGATGCTGAATTTCTTGAAGGATTTCCTATCAGGAGCGGACATTGATGGAGGCAGTGCCCGTGTTGGTGTTATAATATATAGTACTAATGACCACGTGCAGTTCCATCTTAACCGGTATAAAACCAATCAAGATGTTTATAATGCTATAGATAATATCCCATACCGATTTGGTAGTACCAATACAGCTAATGCTCTTAGAACAGTGCATAGAGAAATGTTTACACAACGTAATGGTGATCGTCCTGGTGTAGATAATATTTGTATTCTTTTAACTGATGGTGTCTCTAATATCAATTCTCGAAGAACAATTCCTGAAGCTGAGGCAGCTCGTAGTAAAAATATCCATATCTATGTTATTGGTATTGGTTTAACTGATTTAAGAGAAGTTGATGGTATAGCTACTCGACCAATTGAAGAAAACAGATTTGCGGTGAAGGATTTCAACGAACTGACTCCGATGAAAGACAAAGTGTTTAAATCTTTATGTTCCTGTAAGTAGGCTACTTCTGAACTGGCTTTGCTGATCTGTGATGAGCAAAATAATAAAGACATTTCTTACTTAATCAGATAGATAATTTAAGTTCTAAATGTATTTAATTTTATTAATAGCTCAATCACCACAGCCAGTCCGTACAACCACAGGTAAGGTGCCTTGCTGTACCCACAATTCCGTGCTTTTAGATTTAGTTAAGCGAAGCCATACCATATTTCAAATTTGGAAGAGCTGGTACGGTGGTGTCGACACATATCATTAACCACTGGAGTTAAACCGCCTCTCTTTTGATTAACTTAAATAGAATCAACACAAATCAACTGTTTCAATAAATAGAAAGAACACGTAAGTCTCAAATATCATGCTGAAGTACTGAACAATTTCTGTACAAATAAAACAGCACATAATTGGAAGCGATAGAAGAAAATGATACATGATACAATAAAACTTGGAGAGTTAAATTGATAGTTGCCACGTGGAAATGACTTATGTGTTATGAGTTATGTAGCGATATAGTTGGATACAATACGTAGCAAAGGCACTGAGTTGATTCTGTTTCGGTAGTTCTTGAGCTCTTTAGCTATGGATTATTGCACTCTGTGTATGCAGCGATATGCTACAATACAATGCGAAGCAAAAGACATAGATTAAATGCGATTAGCGAAACGATATGAAGCAAAAAAAAATCCGATATAGAACGCTACAAAGGAAGACCTTTGTAGCGCGATATGCCACAATAGCACTTGCCACGATATACCAAGCCACATTGACATTGACCAATTGGAATCAGTAGTGACAGACAAAATAGAATACAGAGCGACAGACCTAAATAGAAGCTGATGCGATTTATCTACACAGAATACGTAGTGATGGACTTAAATAGAGACTGTAGCGGTAAATATAATCTGTAGCGATTGACCTTATTAGAATCTTAAGCGAAGTATTCATATATAACTTGTAGCGATTGACCTGAAAAGAATAGGTAGCAAAGGATTCAAATATATATAATCTATAACGATAGCACAAGGTAAAGCTTTTAGTCTTAGAATGTAGAATCATTAGATTCCTTTAATAGGAATAGTAAATTCCCTCATCCCTCCTTTTAGAAAAATAGAAATTAAATAAATAAATAAATAAAAATTAAATGAATACTATATTATTTAATGATCGAAAAAAAGATTAATCCATAAGTAATTTTAGTCAACTTATTAAATCTAAATTCTTATATAATCTTATTTTCTTACACTTTTATAATGTATACAATATGGAATAAAACAAAGTTTCCAACCATGTATTAACTAATTCAATTTCATTTTAAGCTCGTGCACCAGTCGTGGAACCAACTCTGCGTCGTAAGTCTATGATAATCCAAATCATTTTTTCCATTATTCGAGTCTTTAGGCATTTTTGTTTGGACATCAATTACTTAAAAAATATTCTCTCTGTTTTATTTTCTTTGGTCTCTTGAAAACTGTACATTCTGTTTGTTCAATAAGCAATCGTTATCCGAAAAATTGTAATCATATGACCAGTAACCTTTGAAATGAGTTTGCGATTTGCCTTCCATTAGTAATGCTTAATAGATATATGGTTGTTTAGCTCAAATTTGATTTCCATAAATCATAAACAAACCAATTCACCATTAGTTAGAAAATCAACATTTACGTATTGTAATAATTTACTATGTTTTCTACAATGCTTAATAGTGCAATGTACCAGATGCACAATAAAATGCTTTTTTACAATAATTTATAATTAGTATTCACTCTACACAATGCCTTTTACAATGTACTATTAATGATCAAACCGAAAATCCACCCTTGTAGAACCCAATATCAGATTTTACCTTGTAGATCTCTAGAATAGATATTATATAGAAACGTTTAGATAAAATAAGAATAAATTCTAAGAAATTATAAAATAATTCTTTGTTTATGTGTGGGAAATTAATGTTAGTGAAGGCTTTGTATTATGTTGTATTTTTTAATCTCTTGCATGTTGTGTCATGTCTCATTTTATATCTAAATATATCCATACCATCTTTATATTTTCTTTAATATTTCTGTTTTTTTTTTGTAGCTGAAACACCTTTACCAATAACGCTGGCACCAGCTCGTGGACGAGGTAAGAATAGTAGTAATTAGAATAGTGAACGTTATACCAATGTTTGCCTTATAATCCGAGCCGAGTATATTATGTAGGTTGGATGTTAATGTTATGTTAATTGCATATTATACACTGTTCGTTCGGTTGTTTATTGTAGATTGTGCAAGTGCCAAGACAGATTTGGTGTTCATTCTCGATGCATCAACCAGTGTCACCGAGCCTAACTTTAAAAAGATGCTTAACTTCTTAAAAGATTTCTTAACGGTTGCTGATCTAGATAGTGGCAATGTTCGAGTTGGTGTAGTTATCTACAGTACAAAGGATCATGTCATCTTCCATCTCAATGAATACTCCAACAGGCGTGATATTTATAATGCTATAGACAATATCCCATACCGATTTGGTAGTACCAATACAGCTGATGCTCTTAAAACAATGCATACAGAAATGTTTACACAACGTAATGGTGATCGTCCTGGGGTTGAAAACGTCTGTATTTTGGTCACTGATGGTGTCTCTAATATCAATTCTCGAAAAACAATTTCTGAGGGTGAAAACGCACGAAATAAGAATATCCATATGTATGTTATTGGTATTGGTCTGAAGGATACTAGAGAAATCGATGGTATTGCAACTAAACCACTTGAACAGAACAGATTCAACGTTGCAGATTTCGACCTCTTAGTAGGTCTTAAAGACCAAGTATTTGCCTCATATTGCGGTATAATATATGATTATTAATTTAACTATATTTATTTCTTTATTTTAACAATTTATTAGTCTTTATAACTACTGATTTTGTATTATGGAAGTTTAAGACAACAAGACGAACTGTGAATGACGTGACAATAATCACCTTTGATGCAGCACAATCTTAGGTTACTCACGCATTTCATGCAAATTTCGATATAGATTATAACAATGTTTGTATGACATTGGTATACCTTTGATTTCAACTAAAAAAATCCATTTGTTTGAAACTTTAAAGACCATAGTAGGGTAAGGTGATTTCGGTGAGGTTTGTCAACGTTGACTTTCCCTACTAACACAATTGTATATTTTGGTTGTACCTTGTATTGTATTCTTAATTTGTTTATGTATTATAATCGCGTATGTTTAAGTTATGTAAAAGATAATTAATATTATCCTTTCAGTTTGATTTTTATATGGTTAATTTTTCTGATCATTATTTTGTTCTTTATTTCTCTATATTGTACGATATATTATATTCTGTTGTAAGTAAGATTGTGATGCAAATTCTGCAATTTTACCAGGTACTGCTATATTACTGATTTGCTAATTATTGATTCAATTTATTCATAGTCCTCAAAGTTTCACCTAATTAATTTCAAATTATGTTTTGATTAACTAAGGTAAGTGGATAAGTAAGAAGAATAATTACAAATGATTAATAATCAGTAAGATGAAAATAATACTAAACGTATGTCACTTTTAAAGTACTTTTTGCGTTTGATTAACAGCTATCTCGATTTATAATAATTAAATTTACCATGTTCATGCATTAATCACCTTTGATGAATTTTTTAGGATCGTCTAAACCACCTAGCTTTGTAACGCTACCTCCACCAACAGAGAGTAAGTAATTAATCTTTTCCATACCAGTGTGCAGAAATATTAAAATGCAGGCGTAATATAGTTTCAAATCTGTGCATAGTTATCAAATGCGCCTTAATGCGTAATATTGTTCGTTAATGGTTTTTGGATTTTTTCACCTAGTTAACATGAAATCAAATAACAATCAGTCTTTGTCTAACATTCATAACTTTACGTTATGCAATACAAATCCCTTATCCCTCACCCACATTGCACAGTATTGAATGCACTATTAAATATTCTGCACAATGTGTTATATAACTGCACCATTTTTTGAAATTTACATTGAAACATTGAACATTAAGTCTGATTTTAAAAGATGTCACCATCAGTTTGAACTCTACTTTAAGACTAAAATATAGATAATTCAAAATATACCACGTAAATCGGTTCATACTCAAACTTTACTTTAAATTAAAAAAGAGATCTTACTCTTGTACTAACGACTATCAATCAAAGGTTTGGTGAGATTTGTCTGGTGTTTACAGCACATCCAACATCATGCTTCAGTGTAAATATACCCAAATATCTGCCTTAATTTAGATTCCCAAACACACCTATTACTGATATCACAGTGGCGTGTTTCCCATACATAATAGTGTCTCTTTCAGCCTGTGGAAGATCTAAAGTTGATCTTATATTTGTCCTTGATTCCTCAACAAGTGTGACACAAGCAAATTTTGACAAGATGTTAAGATTTGTACAAGAGATTTTAAGATATGCTGATATTGATACCGACTATATACGAGCTGGTCTTGTAACGTTCAGTAATGAAGTATACGTCCAATTCCATCTGAATGAATATACCAGAAAGTCAGATATGTTACGGCGCATCCAAAATACTAAATTCAATTATGGCAAAACCAACACAGCTGGTGCTCTACGAACGATGAGAACTGAAATGTTCACACCGTTTAAGGGAGATCGACCATTGGTGCCAAATATAGGTAACATTTTCTTTATTTGATTTCATATAATATTAGTCTCAGACTTATCAGCATGAAAAAAGTAGCAGTTCAATTTCGTTTCTGAATGTTACTGTATTAATTTAAATTAAATAATGCACAATTTGTAGTATTGTGAAAATATAACCGATTCACAGACCATGATTATTATGTTCATTTATTTTGTCTTTACAGCTATAGTGATTACAGATGGTGTTTCCACAGAAAACCCGAGAAACACCATACCCGAGGCTAGACGAGCCCATCAAGAAGGCATTCTAATCTACTCGATTGGTATTGGGTTGACCGACACTCGCGAACTAAACAGCATAGCAACACCACCCGCTCGTGATAACGCGTTCAGTGTTAATACTTTTGATGAATTAATTACATTGCGTGATCTGGTATTCTCGGCTATTTGTCCAAGTAAGTAAGGTGTAGTAAAGGAACATCAGATTCCTGAATTGGATGACGAATAAGCTACATGTATATTCACTATGAGTAGTATGGGAAATACGTTGTGTATGGGGAACCGTTTGGTGGCCCCGCCTAACATTAATTTTTCTCCCATTAAGCTTTTTTAACCTGCACATATAACAATATCAATTGTAACAGATGGTAACATTCATTAAAGTATTAACAGCCATTTAACAATTTTAGAATTCCAAACTTGCAAAATAACTTTATGAAGGCAAATTTCAATGTTCGAACTACTTATATTCAAGTATTGCTGAAAACGCAATTGCAGCGTTAAAATAAACACCACTCTATACATGTATCGTCCATTTATATGTTTAAATTTGTCAAGATATTAAAAACAGATTATTATTTCTTTTCAGAAACAGCAGCTCCAACTCCCCCACCAAGTAAGTACCTTATTGTATTGATTATGTAGTCTATGATTTACCGTGATCTACCTGAGGGAGCGTGTCAGCAAACAAAGCTCGCCCACTTATTGCTATAATTTATAGCGATTGTAGCGGCTGTGCAATGACTGAACAACATCCAAGACTTCCAAGTAATAAGGATCATGCATAATACGGTAATAATATATCGCGGAGTTTACATTTACTGTTATGTGCGATTTTTGATAGACCAAGTCTTCAATAATCAAACTCGTTCAATGGGATTCAAAAACATAGTTAAAGATTCTTGAAATTCATCATTATCAAAGCATGAAAACGTATTGGTAACTCATAATGCATGTTTATGTTCATTCTTTATAACCCATCATAATTCGAAGGTTGTGGATTTTCGAAGTTGGACTTGGCTTTAATGTTGGATACATCTTCTAGTGTGACACAGGAAAACTTTAATAAAATAAAACATTCTGTAAAGAACTTAATAAAAATGTTGGACATTGACTCTGGTAATGTGCAAGTGAGTCTGATAACTTATAGCACAGATACATTTATTCAGTTCCACATGAAGACGTTCAAACGTAAAGATGAAATGTTGAAAAAAATTGACGAAGTTCCTTATCAGTTTGGTCTGACTAATACCGCTGGTGTCTTTGATTTTATGAGAAAATATATCTTCTCTCGCCGTGCTGGTGATCGGACTGACGTACCCGATATGGTAGTGCTTATGACGGATGGAGTGTCGGACGTTAACTCTGCTAATACTATACCTCAAGCCAGAGGAGCTTTGGCAGAGGGAAAACATATTATTGGTGTTGGAATAGGACTACCTGATGCTAAGGAAATACGACAACTTGTTTCCCAACCTGTGACCGAAAATCTCATAATTCTCCGAAATTTTAATGAGCTATGGCGTTTGGAAGAGAAACTTATTAGGAAAATGTGCTCTGCAGGTAGTATCAAATGTGGTTGGCACAAAATAGGTTGTGGGAATATAAACATTGCCGCACGCTAATGATTTAATTAAAAGGAGTAAAATCTTTCTTAAACGAGCGTGATCATTCATTTTGCATTTTCATTTTGACAACATACTCTTCAATATTAACTCACTAAAATATTTGATTATTATTATCATTAACCAAACACCAAGACCACTGTATTTTAACTGCTAAATTCTTTTCTAACCTCACTCAACCAACCCGAAATAAAACAAAAATAACATACTCGTATAATCTTAATGCGATATTGGTTAAAAATTCGGTATAAAATGGAATGCCCACCGAAAGCTGAAAAATACGGGATAAATATACATCAAGTTGGATAGATATTTACATAAAATCTTTAAATCTATAGTTGCATGTTATGTAATATTGTTTTGCGTCCCTAAATCAACATGCTTCTTTCGTTTGTTAAGTACTATTAGTAACTCAGTCTATTTTACCTTTCTTGTAGCAACTCCAAGACCAACTGGTAAGTATCTGAACCTATTTCACATTTAAAGCATTCTCGCAGTTCTATAGTCAGTCATATACTTAATTCAGAGGTCTTGATACTTGATTCCTGTCATTGATTTTGTAGTTTCGTCGACCGTTTTTTATGAAATACGTAATATCTTATCCCCAGTTCTTTTACTTGGATCCTTTGTTTGAAATAACACGTCCATTATGTGCTTATAAATGTGTATTTATAATTGCAGCCTACAGCCCAACAGGATATGACGTAGTTTTGATGCTGGATACATCTGTCACTGATAGGCAAATGGGATGGATCAAGAACTTCGCTAAAAACATCGTTTCCGAGATGGATGTGGATACTGGGGAATATAGAGTTGGTGCCATGACCTTCGGACGAAGACCAAACGTTGAGTATGACTTAGAAAAACACAAGTTCTCTGATGAAGCTGTTGTTCCATTCGATAAATTGTCAACTACCAGAGGTACACCTGATATGGTCTCTGCCTTTGATACTGTACGCAACAGGATGTTTACTCAACCATCTGGAGACAGACCTAGAGCTAGAAATTTTATCGTCATGATTACTGGTAATGAAGGAAGCCGCAACACTCCACAGGCCGTAGCTGCTGCTAAACGTCTAGAAAATGCCGGCGTCGGTATTTACACAGTTGGCTTGAATTTGAGAAACACAAACGAAATTGATGGCATCTCCACCAAACCATTAAGTGAATGGCAGTATCTTGTTAACAGTGAGCCTGGTTTGATGGAAACACCAAGCGTTATTTTATACAACATGCGCAATGGTAGGTTCTGAATATTAATTAATTTAATTTGTAATTTACGAGTTTGATAAAATCTACATCACCTTTTTGCCATTGCATATTGACATCGGGACTTTGATACGTAATTATTCCTTTGAATTTGTATTTCAGCTGGACCAGTCCCACCACCAACAACACGTAAATACCTTATTTTTCTCTAATAACTTAATTTATTTCCATTGATTAATTTTATTATCAAACTTGAAAGTAACAGATTTGCTCAATGCACATCAATTCTGTATGATGATATTAAAAATATGCATTGATATACCAACACTAATTAAATTAATTCTTTCATAATTAGCTCCACCAACAACTACAACAAGACGGACGACTACAACTCGCAGACCCACTACAACGCGTAGAACAACAACACGACGTACCACCACCAGACGTACAACAACGAGAAGAACTACTACTACTCCAAGACCTACTGGTAAGCATTGTTTTTGCTGGACACCAATTATTAGCGACTAACTCATAACTGAAGTTATATCATTATTAGTCAGTGTTATGTTTCCTAATATTTATTTTTTCAATCATATTACGTTATAGCATACAGCCCTACCGGATATGACGTTGTTTTGATGTTAGATTCAACAGTCAACAACGAACAATGGGGATGGATGAAGGACTATGCTAAAAACTTCATAAATCAAATGGATATGGCCAGTGGAGAATACAGAGTTAGTACCATGACGTTTGGTGCAGCTCCAAGGGTAGAATACTACTTGGATAAACACCACCATACCGATGAAGCCGCTGCACCAGTTGATAAATTTAGACAGACACGAGGAACACCGGACTTTTCCAGAGCTTTCAATGCTGTTCGAGACCGAATATTTACAAACAATCGCGGAGATCGTCCTAGAGCTAAAAACTTCGTTGTAATTGTCACTGGTAATGAGAAAGGTCGACATTCTGGTCGATCTGCTGAAGCTGCTAAACGTCTTGAGCACACTGGTGCTGGTATTTTCACAGTTGGTCTTAATCTTGGTGATACAACAGAACTTGATGGTATGACTACCGACCCAAGGGAGGAATATCAATTCTTAGTCAACAATAAACCAGGTTTGGAGGAGACCTCTGGCGTTATTTTATATAATATGCAAAATGGTAAGTCATATTTTTCTTTTAATTATTTTAAGAAAATATCTTCTTTGATGTGTTGGATTTTCATTTATGTCATTATGATATGATGGGGATATGTACTTGAATTAATTCAATTATAATTTACAATCTTTTCTAGCTGCTGAAATAACCGCACCACCACCCACTACTAGACGTCCTGTAACACGACGTCCCGTTACTAGAAGACCTACTCTTGAACCAGTTACATATGATTGGACCAACACAGGTACATCATCTTCATTCATTAGTCCAATACCCATCGTGCCTTATCCAAATAAAGACAGGAAAATCCAAGATACTGATCCGCACATGTATATTTTTGGGCCTGACTACGTAATTGAAAAATATCATACCAAATTCGATGAGTGAATGATTTAACTGAAATTAAATATAATCATTTCTTCAGAATGCAAGACAACTGCTGATATATTGTTCCTCATTGATACATCTGGAAGTGTTGGACAGGATAACTTCGGTAAACTGATCAATTTTACCATCGCTGCTGTTGCCCAATTAGACATTGATCTCGGACTTCACAGAGTGGGTATGATGACATTCAGTGACTCTGCTCATATTGCCTTCCAACTGAATCAATACCAAAGAAAGAGTGAGCTCATCAGTGCAATCAGAAGAGTTAACTACCATTATGGATATACTCACACTGCTGAAGCTTTTAGAGTAGCTCGTGAAAGGATGTTAACACCCGGCGCCGGTGATAGAGCAGGTTAGTTTGTGGTTTTGTTAGGTTATGTATTTAAGGACAATGTGGGCGAACCATATGAAAACATAGTGGAGATAATGAATAATAAACCATACAAAATTAAACTGGCTTTGGCATAAAATAACATACGGTAATAATATAATTTGTTTTTGTTCATTTCAGACTCCCCCAACATGATTGTCATTGTAACTGATGGAGAATCTAATATCAACCCAGCTGAGACAGTACCAGAAGCTAGATATCTAAAGCGACTCGGCAATTCCATTATTACCGTGGGAATAGGTTTTACTCAAGAATATATCAATGCTGATACACATAGTAGTAATGAACTTAGGGATATTACGTCACCTCCTATGGAGGATAACCTGATGTTTGTGGACAACTATGATTCATTGGTACATCTGAAAGACAAACTTGTTCATCCGATTTGTACAGGTGGGTCTACGTCAAAACGTTTGAAAATAGCCCATTACTAAAGATTCATGATGGGACCAGTTGTATAGTGGTTTCTAAAGATATATATTTATTTTGTGCTTGTCTTTTTATTGTGGGTTTTATTGAACATTGTGAATCTGACCATCTCTGATTGTCTACAATCTATTACTTTCTACGGAACTACCGTCTATGTATGGGAACTTATCAACACCATGTTACAGTCTAACAATATTTTCTGTTTCAATTATTGCAGATCCCGATCTCTGTCAAACGGCTCCATGTCAGAATGGTGGTATTTGTTTGGATGGCCTTAGAAGCTACACCTGTGTTTGTCAACCTGATTACTTCGGACATGACTGTGATAAGAGTAAGTTCATATCAAATTTACTCATTAGTTTTGATTGTTATTAACGTAAAATCATTTCTAGAAAACGCTTTCGTGATTACATTACATTCGTGATGCAAAATAAAGAAATATACCAATACAACAACTGGAAGTACTTATCACGATGAAATGTATTCCAGGTTGTGGTCAGCCCGCTGATGTTGCCTTTATTCTGGATTCCTCCACAACAGTTGGATCTTCCAACTTTGCCAGAATCAAGATGTATGCTGAACAACTTGTCCGAGAAATGAATGTCGAAAACTGTAACATCCGCATTGGTGTTTTGAAATACAGCTCTGCACCAATGCTACAATTCTCCATTGGTGAATTAGGTACCGATACTGAAGCCATTACTAGAGCCATCAATAGAATCAGTTATACACGAGGTCGAGCCAATATGGCTGGCGCCCTCCACAGTTTGAGAACTAGTGTATTTAACGGTTATAATGGTGATAGAAGCGGTGTTAGAAACGTAGCTTATCTGATTACTGATGGTAGCGCTGAAATCAATCGAGATAACACTATGGCTGAAGCTGAATTAGCCATTCAATCTGGTATTCGACTCATCCCAATTGGAGTAGAACTAAGAGATCGCGAAGAGGTTACAAACATAGCTGAGTCTCAGGGTATTACTCTTACTGAAATGAACGATGGTGAAAGCATTAGAGATAAATCTGATATTTTGATGAACAACTTGCACGATAGTAAGTCCATTATGATCTTACTTTCCAACTTCAAAATATTGTTGACACAGTACACAACTGTTTCAATTAGATGAAGCATGAAACTCAAAGATGTGTCAAATGCTGAATATTTGTTGTAAGCTTGAATTATTTGGACAGACTAGTCAATATAACAAAACACAAGACAATATTATGGAATATATGTATTACGTCTGATGACGACACGTGTATATTGTGTTGAAACGTTATGTGCCCAACCTTATTAAAGAAGTGTGTTAAATTCCATAATATTATATTGTGTTTTGTTATATGTGCTCCTCTCTTCTATATGTCGTTCAAATCTTATAGATAAGTCAATGTTTTGGTAAGTAAGCTATCCAACAATATGTAGAATTCTAGTCTTTCTTTTTTACCGTTATTTATTTTTTTAGTTCCGCTCTCTTACTGCTCCTTATAGTCCAAAATAGTCATATTTTAGCTGCAAGTTATTCATCCGCGGAGTTGTGTCCTTCGTACCGACTTGTTTACATTTGTTGTTTTCTATCATAATATTTGTGTATGTTATGATGTTATTTTCCTCTTTATATTCATGGGATATATTAGATATACTTTCATTTAATCAAACTTATTTCAATCCTCATTTCAGAATCATATAGTAAGATATATATTTAAGTTTAGCATCTTGTTTTTAATCCTATCCCGACTCAATATGTTGAGTTAATTCAGCCAATATCAGTCCAAATATACGCAAACAAATTTTTTTCATACTTTGAACAATACTCGAATTTATTTATCAATAGAATATCATTAATGCATGCGGATTTTTTGTAGTCAAAGGACTATTCAAGTTGTACCAGTGATATTAGGCTTCAAATGACCCAATCTAATTAAAATTAGAATACTTTATTTTATTTTCTGATATTTTTAGTCTACATCGTTACTTAAACATTTTCTACCAAAGGCCCGTTCCAAAGATTTTATTTTTAACCAAACAAAGCGTGTCATGTAAACCTACATTTGGTTTCGATATCTCACAATTCTATATTTTATCAAGAAATAAGATATACCTTAGGGACGGACCTTTGGCAGAAAAATATTCAGATTACCATTGAGAATAAAAATATCACATGACGAAAACGGTACGAAATTGTAATCTAATTTTAATTAATTAACTTAACATAATTCATTGTACTGTTGCATGATTTATGTTTTATCGTAGTAGTGTATCACGTATACAATGACAACGTTTCAGGTGTATCAGGTGGAGGAAATGGTTCTGCCGGAGGTTCCGGTACCGGTTTTGGTGCTGGTATATCATATTTTCATACTTCATGAACGATTTTGAAACATAACCCTTAACATGGATTCAATTAAACATTCCTATGTATTTATGATCCCACTTCCCACTCGTCCTCGTTAGAGTTCCCTCTCATTTTTCAACTAGTATAACCTCCTGTTTGAACAAGTAGCTTTATGCAGAAGGCTGACAATTCTGCCCAAAATTGCCGCATCGATTTTTTTTCAGTAAAGTAATTCATATGAAATTTGAAAGATAATTTTGTGATAATGCAACTGGTGTTTATTGATATGAATTATATTTGTTTTGTTGTTAGCATGTATTAACATAATTCATATTCTTTCTTTGTCCATTGCTTAATTAACATTCATCCTATACCAACCGGAACGTCCCCAAAATATTTCTTGTTATCATTAATTTGAATATGCCCTAATTCGTAAACCCTTCAATGCATGATTCCACATTTATTTTACATCTAAGAATTTTACTTTCTAGTTTATATTTTGTAGTACTTTCATTTATAAAAGTGTAAAAGTATTTATTTCCGATCATAATAATATCATTGTATTACTTTAAACAATTATTTTGCATATTAGTATATATTTTATTTGACACCATTGCGTATTTAGTTATATAGTATGAATTTTCTTTTAATATTCTATAGTCTATCGATCTTGTGTATATAAAAATTTGTGTTTCGATTCTTTAAAACGTTACCAATTTTGCGTTTTTCGTCTAATCATATACTTCATTTCATATCAAATTAACATCACTCGGTGATTGTGAAACATGTTTCTCAACATATTCAGTCACTGTCTCAAGCGGCAGCTTTACACGAGATTAGGTTGTTTATTTAGAATCGGAACACAAAGTTCTATCAGTATCTGTGGAAATTGTTTAGTAAAAGGCTTTTTATGTTGTCCAGTGAAAGGACGGTCTTTGTCGACCCCTTGCATGCCTGAGACATTTTATCTTGAATTTCAGCAAGTTTGTTGGTTATTGTAGGTTCCGATTACTGCTCTGGTAGTCCCTGTCTCAATGGTGGTACCTGTTATAATGATGGCAATAGTTACAGATGCGAATGCTCTGGTGGTTACTCTGGAACTGACTGTGAACAAGGTAAACAAAACAGTCAGATTAACTTATAAGGATACAGTCAGCATATGACACAAACATAAATACAAATTTCCAATTGTTATTTGCGACTCCTCTTTTTCGTGGAATAAGACTTTAATTAAGATGTTTTACATACGTTTCTTAGATATTTGTGATATTCATCTGCTTGTTATGTCGTAGAATGCAGTGGAAAGGCCGATGTTGTATTTGTGGTGGAATCCTCAAGATATTCGACAAGAAAGGACTTCCGTATGATCAAGAGATTCATCAGAAACGTTGTCCTCAAGATGATTTTTAGAACAGATAGCTATAGAGTAGCCATTGTGGAGTATGGTAGTTCGTCTAAGGTCGTTTTAAATCTTGCTGATGGTGACAAGAAACGTAATGTACAGACTCATGTAGCTGGGCTAAGGTAGGGATGTGGCATATTTTTAAAACATTCTGTTCATAATCCCTTCTATCCCTTTACCTATGGTATTAATAATGATTAATTTGATCGTGGTTTTTTTTTTAGTTAATTTTGAAAATCACACAAAATCACATTTGCTATAGCAACTCTATAATCTTCTGATAACTTTCAACAGATTGATTGGCGGAGAACCAGATCCAGCTAATGCCTTAAAGAAAGTGTTATATAGTGTGATAAATTCACCCGGTGATAGACGTGATGTTCCCAACTATGTGGTATTCTTAACCAGAAGTATGAATAATTTCTATGAGATCTCGAAAACAGCAAACAAATTGAAAGTCAGCGGTGCTCGCATCATTAGTGTTGGTAAGTGGTCCTCTTCAAATCTAAAAATGAAAAATATATTTTCTTGAATGAAATAAAATATTATTTGCGTGAAAAATCAATGCAAGTTTAAGCAAAGCAGTTTTGTCACAGTTTGATTCAAAGAATTTTCATCATTTATTAAACGAGTAAGTATACATCTATTTCTGTGGGTTGGTAATCTATATTGTATTCGTCCGATGCTTTTAGGTATTGACACAACGGCTACTATGAATGAACAACTTCAAACTATCTCGTCCTACCCTACAGACAGAACATTGTTCCTAGCTCGTGATGCTTCTGATTTACAAGATACAGCTAGTGAATTCACCAACTTTGTTTGTGAAAGTACTGGCAAATGTAAGTATTAGATTTTGCTAACTGAAATTCTGTATCATATTTGTGTTATATGGATATTTGTCCCGTTGTTGAAGACATATATTTTTTTAAATCTTTTACCAAGACAATGAACAATAAATGTTTCTCATGATGTTGCTTTCAGATAACTATTCATTGCATTTACTTTTACAGCTGTTGACGTCTGTAGAGATAACCCTTGTTTAAATAATGGACGATGTGAACCAAGTGGTACAGGATATATGTGTAGTTGTAGTAGTGGATATGCTGGCAAAGACTGTGAGCGATGTAAGTCAATAAAATAGGTTAAGCAACTCTTCAACTACAAATCCTTTTCATCCATAAATAAATATGCTCCTGGAATACCATATTCACAATCAATTCTGAAAGTACTCCTATTTGATTGATTGAAAGATATTGAAGTGAAATAAGTGAACATGTATATTAAATAATTCTATTTTCAGCATGCAACTCCAAGGCTGATATAGTGTTCCTAATCGACTCATCTGGTAGTGTAGGAGGACAAAGTTTCAGAGTTATTAAAGACTATATACACCATTTGGTAGAAAATATGAACATCGGATCTGATGCTACACGAGTTGGTGCTGCTATCTTCAATTCTTTCAGTAAAACTGAGTTTTATTTGGACCAGTATTCTAATAAGAGAGACCTACAGAACGCTATTTCTGGTATACAGTACGAATATGGTAACACTAATACTGCTGGTGGTATCAAAATGGCCAGGACTCAGATTTTCAACAAAAAGCGAGGTGATAGAGAGAACGTACCTAACTTCTGTAAGTATTTAAGTCAGGAAACGGAATCCAATATACTCTATACAAATGCTTTGCATCATTTGAAATCATTTTTATGTTAAATTAATCGATCAATTGCTAAATGCGTTTCGTAAAATGATTGACTAAGGAAAAGCTCTTCAACAATTAATTGTATTTATGTATTCTGATCAGGGACTTTTACATCATTTTAGTGTTCATCCTTACCGATGGTCTGTCCAATGTTAAAGCTGAAAATACCATACCTGAGGCTACAGCTGCTAAGGATCAGGGTATTCATATATTTGCTGTTGGTGTTGGTTTTGCTGATCGATGGGAAGTTGATGCAATGGCTTCTGAACCTATCTCCAATAACGCTTTCATGGTAGAGAATTTCCAGAGCTTGTGGAATATTTCCGGTGATATTATCAACTATGTATGCCGCGGTGAGTTGTAATTTATAAAATTTGGTGGTGTTGCATTTCTGTTGTAAAACCTGATTAAAATGTTTCATTTGCTTCTGATGGATAATTATACAAAATTCGCTCAAAGTGTTATCATATAATACTTTTCACAGTGTTCATATAATACTTTTCACAGTGTTCATATAATACTTTTCACAGTGTTCATATAATACTTTTCACAGTGTTCATATAATACTTTTCAAGTGTTAATTTGTGACTGTGTGTAATTTGATATTGCATTTCTAAGTTGATGTATAAACATTTCTATCATGAATGCATTTATCGAGGTAAATGACCTATTAATAATTGCAATTCTTATATTCTCATTTTAGATGATAGTGTGTGTGCCGATAACCCATGTCTGAACGATGGTTTGTGTATACCTGGTATTGGTGACTATAAATGTAATTGCCAAGATGGTTATCTTGGTAAAAACTGTGATATAGGTAAGGACATATTTTAGCTCTCTTCAGATTCCCATTTCACAAAGAGCACAGGAATAGGTGAGAGTCGAGACCGGGCAAGGATAGGTATTAGAATAGGGGGGTGATATTTCAAGATCGTAGTCGTGACAAATTCTATACAGGGCCGAAGGTTGCTAAAAATACATCATGTAATCACCACAGAAATAATTCTTGTTCTTAATAGAGAATCCCACTTACAAGGCAAACTGTATGTTCCATCCTCCATTCTGTTTACGATCTTATAGAAAGTGTGCATAGATATTTCATGGTAAACACTTTAATATTTCAGATTGTCGAGCAAGGAAAGATATCGCAATTGTTGTAGACTCATCTACAAGCGTAGGACCAGAAAACTTTCAAGTCATGCTGAAATACCTTGCCGACCTCATTGAATCTTTGACCGCAGGTGGCCAGGATCACCGATTTGCACTCATTCTCTACAGTACGCGGGTGAACTTGATTTTCAGTTTTAAGCGATATCGACGATTGGATCAAATTTTGGATGCTGTCTACACCACGCAATATATGCCTGGAGCTACCAATACTGCTGGTGGTCTTCGTGTAGCAGGTGAAGTTTTTGGAGACGGGTATGGAGAACGATTCGGTGCAGATAATGTTGCTCTATTGTTAACTGATGGAAAATCTAACTTAAATTATGAAGATACGTTGCCAGCCGCAGAAGATCTCAAAAAGGCTGGGGTTAAAGTGATAACCTTAGGAATTGGCTTGAAGGACACTCAAGAAATTACAGATATTGCGTCTAGTCCACAAGATGTGTTCCAGGTTACATCATTTGACACCTTAGATGAAATAAAACAAGATATTGTTGGTAACTCGTGTGTGGAGGTTCAACAAACACCACGCGGAAGACGACCAGAACCACGGGTTGAAGAACCAGAAAGAAATGAAGAAGACTTTGGAAGGGAAGAAGGTGGATATGGAGGAGAAGAAGGAGGGTATGGAGGAGGAGATGATTATGGAAGATAATTTTATTTTATTTTCTACCATTATACCAATAGCATCGAATAGTCCTGCAGCACACCGATGATTTATAGCGAGGAAGCTGTGAGGATACAAGTCATTTTTAGAAATTATCTTCTTCAATTGAAAATGCTCAGTGAAAATAGATGCTAAATGCTTTTTATAATTTTTTTTTAAATTTTGATATCATGTACATACTTTATAGACTAACGTTTTGCACTGCTTTATTTAATACGCTTTTTATAAAATATACATGTAACACTTAAGTGCTAAAGTCAATTTTGTGACTGAGATAACAGCTATAAATGGTACATTTCTTGATCAATTTTAAAGATCTCTATAGGAGTATCAAATACTAATCAATAATTCCACATAATTATTCACATCATTATGTTATTAATACATTTATATTAATAGATTAATTTTGGCTTCAAATGGCTGACATCACTCAGAAGGAAATGTGTTTTCCTCCAAGATGTAAGATATGTGTCATCCTAAAATTTAAAACCACCAATAAAGATTTTATAGTTATTTAGATGGGTTATCTGTTTATCAAGTGTAGAGGCAAAGCATTCCAAATATCGACAAAAATACACGGTCTGGGCTTACTTCATGTAAGCATCAACCAAAAAGTCAAATGGTCCCTTCAAATGGTCCCTGTGCTTGAGACTTTCATCGACATCATGGCGTGCACCAAAAGCCTGATCAGGAGCGGAAAAATAAGATATCTCGCTTTTCTATTAAATAACCAAGCAAAATCTTAATATTGCTCAACAATTTTCTAAACTATTTAAGTGTGTCGGAACACTGATAGCATCGATTAACACCATTCTCAATCTGTGAGTCCTTTTGACGTAATTTTTACAAAAGACGCTAATCATTTATTATCAACTTTTGCGATAGTGGCGTCATACAGCGTTAAGCATTTCTATAACTGCAGTAAAATTGGAGTGATGCAAATAGAATCCATAAATTTAGTTTAGAAAACCACTTTACAATTCCTTTAAAATGCCCCTTATAACATTTACAACAATATGAATTATTTTTGGGATTCCATTTCTTCTTTACTTATATATCCATCTCCTGAAAAATGAATACAACACTGATTTTACCACGGGATCAGAGTAATTGTCCAAAGCATAGCCTATACATGACCTGGATAGGCGACTCCCGTGAAACACTTACAGCTGAATATAGAGTAATTACATCAATTCGTCCTACATCCTATTTTGTAGCACTGTAGTATACATTAAAAGCAGATTGACATGATTTTCTGTAAGAATCCATCAGTTAAAAAAAACTTTAACACAATTTGTCTCCCTTGGAATATCAACTTACCGTCTGTATCATAGGTTTCTTGTATTAGATTTTCTAACTGAACATGATCTGAACACAGGTATCTTGCAATATCACCAACAGATGACTGGTCACTGAAACACGATGAAAAATACATTTCTGTTTCGACTTACGTTAGGGTGTAACAGGATTCTTAGATATAGCTTCTTGTCGTCATACAAACCAGGTTTGATGGAGTTTGTGGTTTCCATGTCGGCATTAATTCGTCAAATAAACAAGGTTTCATGGTGTTTGTGGTTTCCAAATCGGCAGCAATTCGTCATACAAACAAGGTTTGATGGAGTTTTTAGTTTCCAAGTCGTGCATATAAGACCAGCTATATGTGTCTAGCTATTTAGAACCTCCACTAAGACTTCCGAATCAAAAAGCCAATTTCTAATTATCAAATTTAGTTTTAATATATTTTTTTATTGTTATTTGCCACTAATTAACGGCTTTTAAATAAAGGATATATTCTGAAAAATACTTGTAGCCAAATCTTTTGCTGCTGTCGATAATTTCATCTCTAAATATATGTGAAGATATTCTTTTATATGGTAGACGACTGCCAGATGTAAAGCCCGACTCCACAGTTCCCATATACATCAGTAACACGACTAAAACACACTGTCTGTACATCTTGGTGTATCTTTCTGCAATGAATATATTAATAAAAGCATTAATTCTTGACAATTAAACGAGTGTCTACAGTCAGACACGTAAAACGTTACTTAGTTTTCGGTTTCGAATTGTTGTCAAGTGTCATAATTTTCGCCAATTGTGGCCAAAAATGCTTTTTTTATTATTTTTTTTTTAAAACCTATAGCTTTTTGGTTTTCTGAGCAAATGTAAACGAACAAATGAATATAAGCGCCGACAATAAACAATCTTCAGTAAATACGAATTACTATTAAATATAATTCTAGCTTCGTGACCTAGGTCCGTGCTTCTTCTGGGAATTTCCATATCACCCTGACACCACATGAAATGCATGCTAAAGTATGGTACGAATAGGACATCCAATCAATGTAGAGAATTAATTGCATGAATCGTGTAAATGAATTGTTTGTTTGCTCATAAAAATCTGAATGAAATAATACTGAGTAAGTGATATAGCATGCACGAGAAGGTATGAAAATTTGAAAGGTTTAAACAAAAGTTGGCATTTTGAAAACAAACATCTTTTCATCAATGATCTAGATGAAAATAAATGATCATATTATCAATATTATAAAAATGTGAATATTGTCCTATAGCCTATACATTTCCAAAAGGTGTGATTGAAATAAGGAACACTTCAAATACAAACTTGACATATCTATAATGTTGCATAAGAAACGCCTTCATTTCAATAATTGTATTTTTTTGAATGACAAGTCAAGACTTCCATAACAATTTCAATCCGATTTTTACTTTGAATTAAAGGCAACATGGCACAATGCACGGAAATATTAATGACGCAATGATTAACTGTAAAATTGGCAAAAACAAAAACATAATCTAAAAGTTGCGCTAAATGCGTTAATTTTAGTGTATTTCACTATGAAAAATCAACAAGTTTTTTTTCTATCCAAAATATTGAAAATCAACATGTGTTTAAATGATTTCTTCCTTTGTTATGTTCTAAAGACTAGCTAAAAGGAATTTTCAAAATTTTACCCCAAAAGGGTATAGCAAAAGAATAGCATCTAACTTGTTCTATTAGCTGAAATCTTTCCTATTTGAAACAATGTCATTTATAAGTGAGAACGTTTATAAACCACCCTTAATGTGGATTAAAGAACAATTTTATATCGGCATTGCGTGAAATCATTCACAGACAAAAACGAAACCTGTTAATATTAGCTATATCTTACAAACAACGACCTAAGATATTTAGAAAATAATATATTATCCATGTAATGCTTCATTCATGTTGGAATTGCCAATTTGAAAATCGTTTTTTGTTCAATTTGTTGTACGCTTATCAGGATTACGACAAATACCGAGATTTACAGTAAAGAATAGTTTTTATTCTATTTGGTTGATCTGTGTAATAGCCTTTTGAAATCACAGAGTTTTAACGGTAGATACAAGGTATCAGCTGCACCGTCGATGTAGTCCCTGGCTGTGGCTATATTGTACATTATTATAAAATACACGCTGCACAGTGGATGTGGTCGTGTATAAAATACAAGCTGCACAATGGTTTTGACCATTCTAATCACTATTAAAATGTGACTTAATGATGAGGGTGTATGGGAGGGCTGACAAAATCATTATGTACGGACAGATTAAAATTTTGATATTATTATGTACAACTTTATAAGAGTTACCAGGTAATAGAGCTCCATTTAGGGAAAATATAGCTTCCAATATCCTCAACAAAAAGGTATTGTGGTCTTCATGTTATCGGTTAGAACATGAGTGGATTAATGACGCCCTGGACGTTATTTCAAAAACTCCAGCAAGCACAATTCCTGGTGGATTTTGGGGAAACTTTGTGAAATGGTTTATTAACATCTAAAAAGGAACCCTATTGAAAAACGAAACTTTGTAATGAGTTATTGCTTTTGTTCTTGAAAATGCGTTCAATTTTAGCTTGTAAACACTCTAGTAAGCACATTTCTTGGCTGATTTTGACGAAATTTGGTGTAAATGTTTATTATCACGCAAGGATGACCCCTTAGTCAAAACAATCGAAAAATATTAAAAATGAATTCTTGAAAACCCGATCAATTTTTATCTTGTAACCTCACATGAAGGCACAATTCTTGACATATATTGATGAAATCTATGTTGATTTTTAACCAATGATGAACCTTTTTTTAAAAAAAAAAAAATAAAAAAATAAATAAATAAATATTTTATATGAGTTGTTGTTGAAACGCATTTGACAAAATTTGGTAATATTGTTCATTATCTCATAAAAGAAAGTTCAAAGAAATATATGACTGAAGGTTGAAAATTTCATGATGGTAATTGTTAGTGTTCTGCCAAATATTCTTATTTAAAGTCAAAGTTGCCAGTGGGTGTATATTACCTTGCCTGGCAAGTTATCTTGTTAAATTGCAATGACATCGGACATCGGGTATAGATATACTGTTAGCTAGAACCATTGCATTCTTATATATGAAGTTGCTGACGATCGGTGACGAAAACTGTGGAAATTTCACAATTATTGCCTTAAAGACTGGTTTATAAATCGGTTGATTTCCACGTATGAAACACACATTATTGAATATTGATGTAAAATAGGTATTATCTAGGGACTCATCATATAATGTCTATCATTTAATATTTATATACCTATAATGGATATTATTACTATCCCATGAATTCATTTATGATGAGACAAACCTTTTTTAATGTGCAGTTTGAGATTAAATGCCTAGAAATTAATAAACTTTATGTTTGCTGTTATCTATTTTCATACCAGTACTTTGATCATTACGTGATCAGTAAAACTAATAGTGGGAAAACCAGGGAAATTAAAATATTAGCACTATTCCAAATATCAAAATTGCCTCTTGATATCCGTACAAATTGCACATTATGATATAACATCAATAGCTTTTCTTTAAACGCGGTAATATATATATTTCATTCTTAAGAAACTTATCTTTACCTGACACTCGATTAGAGCTAAATTGTAACGGAAACGGCAATATAATATTTTATATATTGTCATATCCAAGCGTATCCGGAATCGGTTTGACAAAATACGTTATTGAAACTACAACATTTGCAGTCTGTTCGTGATTTAACAGTCGACACACAATGGCGACATTTTTGACGCAAAAGACTATCTCATGTAACACTGAGCAAATGACCTTTAAATTTTGTGTTACTTCACATTAAACATTTAAATGTTTAAAAAATCATGTATCTAAACTTGTCAAATTGTATTTGTATCTAAATAAAACGAAGAGTTTGAAATCCAGACAATTTTCAGCCAAATATTTTAATTCGAAGTTGAATGAATTTGAACCAACGTAATGTATCACGGAGTGAACTAACTTTCACTAGCAATCTATCTACACTTGCACTATAAAAACATAAAACAACTCCCAACTTTAATAAACAACATTCCTTTTCTTTTTCAACTGTGTGTTTATAAATTGTAACTAACCAACATAAACCTTGTATATAATCATAACTTTGTAAATATCTCTGTTAACACCATATTATACAGTATATCAACAAACTTGTGAATAAAAATGTATATAAAAAGAGATAAGGCACAATGATGATAAGATCTATGTACACTACAATCTTATGTCTAGAGTTGGGACCTTTTAGTCACTAACCCCCTTTGATCCTTCTTGCTCCCCTGTTCCCAACCTGGGGTGTGAGACTAGGGTGTCCGGGGTGTGGCCAACTGGTATAGGAGTAGAATTTATTTTGAATTGAGAGAGCAACTCATATCATGCTGAAAATGTGTATGAAACAAATTTTTGGGGGTGTGAAAGGTCCAGCTGATTTCACCAAGGATGTGAAGGCTGAAAAAGGTTGGGAACCACTGTTGTATCTAATCATAAGTAACTACAATAGCCCGTAACACTCTTGCTCTATACACTATTTTCTGAGTGTTCAAAAAAAAAGAAAAAAGGTTTACTCTCGTTTGCTCTTGTTAACGCTTGTTTGCTCTTGTTTACACTTCGTTGCGCTTTTTAGTTGAACCGAGAATCACACCTAAATGTTAAATAATTTTAGTTTATTCTTATAAGATTATACTTGCTACTCCAAACCCCTCATTTTTAACTATACAGAGTACTCTTTCTGTAGAAAACTTGGACTATTTTTTTATTATGATTTCCAATAACTCTATTGTGTTCTTTAAAGAGGTTTTATGATGATATCAACTTACTGCCTTCCGCATTTCGTCGGTAAAGCGAATTCTACCTCTTGAATTGGAATACCAGCTTCAAAATTGCTAAATTGGAATGACTTAAAATGTAAGTTTACATTTTTATGATTGCATAGTGAATCTTTAACTATCGGTAGTATTATAAAGGTAGTCGATATATAATAATTTGCAAACTCGATTTAATAACAAAAAACTGTAAGGACAGAAGGTCCCTGAACTACCTGTCTTTATGGATCAGTTACAAAATTCAAAGAAATATATTAAAATATATCATACCCAGTTAACTTAATCCAAATAAAATTTTGTACAAAAATCCAGTTCCAAATCGAAAGAAGAAAGAATGGTCGGGAACGAGTACTATGTTTTATAAGGGATGTATCTACCAATAATTCATAAGTGCCATATTCCCCAAACATTCCCTGACATTTGGTTATTATGCTAATGTACCATGATACACTTACCTCAGAAATTGAGAAATGCCAACACTGACAGCGAATTATGGCTTTATTAAACTTCATCGTGTCATCCGACATTACTACTTAAAAAGGAATAGGCGAGAAACATTTCGGAAGGAATCTGATCTCGTGTTTTGTATGAGGCTATGTGAAAATGTAAAGGCCAATATCCCAAAATCATCTTCGAATGACCAAGTCGTAAATTAAATCGTGGAGACGTCAAAACTTTGAAGTTAAAAAGCGCCCGTGGTATTAATTTAGTAGGGTTTATCATTTATCTCGAGACATTATGTACATTTTGTCATTATACTGTTAAAAGGGCTGATGAAGTAGTATTTGTAGTCATTGTACTAGTATATCCATTAGTATACATACTTTAAATTCCCGTGATCATGTCTGTCCAAACCAGATAAATCTTTGTGAAACGGGCGATTCCCAGATTCCCAGATTTTTTTCTGTTAATTATTGCCCAAAGACAATAGTACTCACTGGTGAGCAACGAATTGGATAGGGTTGTGGATATTAAAGTTCTAATATATTCTAATAAAATCGCTTTCTTGTCTTTTAACGTAATAAACTGTACTCGTGTTGTGAACTTACCATGTTCACCTGTGTCGCAAATAAACAAGTCAAGGCCAGGATACAAAAACCTACAAACCTTGTATAATCCTTCGAGAAAAACATCAGCAATAGACATGAACCACGTTGCATCTGAATTGTAATTGTCAGCATAATTTATAGATTACCCTTTTTTCGTTCTACCTTAACCATAAAGCTACCATTAGAAAATGAAAATAATTCAGATATGGCTGTAAGAAGTATATCCCCTTCAAACTACCAAAGAAAGATAGCTGATATCAATACGCAAAGATAATTATATGTGTGACCTATTGTTATCAAGTATTATTTTGTTATCTAGTTATAAGTTATAGTTTATCGAAGTAGCATGAATAATATGATTGTACACATCAAAATGTGGCTAACAATCGTTTTACTATGTTTATTATTAGTATCCTGTTGTTGTGACTTTCCGTTCATGGACCCTTCATTGACATGGGATGAAAGAGTACATGACTTGGTGTCCAGGCTAACTGAAGAGGAGATGATGAACCAAATGGCTAAAGGACGAGCCGATATTAAAACCGGAGCTCCATCAATTCCTAGACTGGGTATTGGAGAATATGATTGGGCGACTGAATGTCTTCATGGGGACGCGATAGCTGGCAATGCAACTTCTTTTCCTCAAGCCATCGGATTAGCGGCTACGTGGAGCAAGGATGTGTTGTATCGAGTCGCCGAAGCTACGAGTGTAGAAGTAAGAGCCAAAAACAACAATTACACAAAACATGGATTGTATGGATTCCACATGGGGCTTTCCTGTTTTAGTCCGGTCATCAATATATTACGAGATCCTCGGTGGGGAAGGTGCCAAGAAACATATGGCGAAGACCCGCACTTGACAGGTGCGTTGGCTCAGAGTTTCGTTCGTGGCCTGCAAGGGGGTCACCCAAGATATATCCGTGCATCAGCTGCATGTAAACACTTTGATGCTCATTCCGGCCCAGAAAACATTCCAAAATCCAGACTGTCATTTAATTCAATTGTTTCTGAAAGAGATTGGCGGACAACTTTTCTTCCTGCTTTCAAAGACTGTGTGGATGCTGGAGTCTACAGTATAATGTGTAGTTATAATAGTATTAATGGAGTGCCAGCATGTGCAAATAAAAAGCTATTGACTGATATTTTGAGGAATGAGTGGGGATTTTCTGGATATGTAGTGAGTGATGCTGGAGCTATTGAGAATGTGTGGCATTTTCATAACTATACCACAAATGACGTCGACACTGTTGCTACTACTGTCAACGCTGGTGTTAATCTCAATCTTGCTGCAGGTACCGTATATGAACCACAGGGTGAAAACTGATATTAACTATCCATAATTTAAAGTCTTAAAGTCAACAAAACCCAAAAAGCCAGACATAGATGAGCCCGTAATATCCCTAAAAAAGTCAAGATTAGATTGAATATCACCCCATGTTTCAGATGTTTTGAGTTTTGAATTTTGGTGACTAATGAATTATTTCAATTTACTACTCACGCTTCATATTTATTGTTAAGATTATCTAAATCAACGGATAACCCTTCTTTTTCAGGGAATTGGTCCAATTTCACCAACGCATTTTATTCAATGGTTGAAGCTATAGAGCAAGTAAAGCTACCCGATCAAATAGTCAGGGAGAGAATGAAGCCCCTCTGGTACACCAGAATGAGATTAGGGGAGTTCGATCCAGATTACATGAATCCATATAGTAATATTAATTTGGGAGCTATACAGAGTAAAGTACATCAAGAACTTTCTCTAGAAACTGCAATGAAATCATTTGTTTTGTTGAAAAATATAGACAACACTCTACCATTACCTAACACACGCTTCCATTGGATAAGCATTGTAGGACCTATGATAGACAGTCCAGAGCAGCTTTTTGGAAGTTATGCTCCTACCTATGACCCAAAATTTACGGTAACGCCATATTATGGATTAGAGCGTTTAGGGGGAAATATCACTTCGGGCCAAGGTTGTGAAGACAATAAATGTGAACACTACGCGAAGAATGACATTATTAACGCAGTTTATGTTTCAGAGGTTGTATTCGTTTGTCTTGGACTTGGAACTGAAGTTGAAGCCGAAGGTAAAGACCGAGATACCATAGATCTTCCAGGTGGACAACTTCAGCTACTTAAAGACGCTGTGAAGTATAGCCCAGAAAATGCAATTATCATTTTAATAATTTTCAATGCCGGGGCAGTTGATCTATCTTGGGCAGAACAAAACAGCAAGATATCGGCGATAATAGCAGCGTTTTATCCCGGACAGACAACAGGTACGGCACTAAGAAAGCTCATTACCCACGACGGACCATATTCTGTTCCGGCTGCACGACTGCCATTTACTTGGCCGAAATCTGATGGACAGTTACCTCCAATGGTGAATTACAACATGACTGGGAGAACATATAGATATCTGAAAGATGATCAAGAACCTTTGTATCCATTCGGTTACGGATTATCTTATACACAATTCCAATACGATCATGTATCTGTTGATCTTCCAGTTAAGGACGGTGTTTACATTGTTAATGCTGGCGATGACCTAAATGGCTCTGTTTTTGTAAAAAACAAGGGGCAATATGAAGGCGAAGAAGTTTCTCAAGTATATATTCAGTGGAAAAATATAGAGATTCAAACACCAAAATTACAACTGGTAGATTTTGCACGTCAACACATCCCTACCAAAGAGTATATTAAGGTTGACTTTACAATTGCTGCCGAGAAAATGGCTGTCTGGACAGATGATGGCGGATGGATCATCCTACCTTGCACTTTACACGTGTTTATAGGCGGACAACAACCTTTTCAGACCAAGCCGGTTGGATCCAATATCATTAGTTTTGAAGTAAAAATTCAAGGACAGAAAATGCTTAAATAAAACACATCAGCGTATTTATCGGGTAGAATGGTTTTATGGCCTACGGATTCATCCGAAACAGGATTTATTTCAAAATGTAACAGTAATAATTATCTAGTTTTTATATCCCATGGAAATGTAGACGTATATTGCAGTCGCCCCTGTCCGTTCGACGGTTCGTCCACATTTCTTGTATGAACGATAGAGGCTACAGCTTTAATCTGATCTTGACGAAACTTGGTATGTATGTATATTGATGAGATCTCGGTCAAGTTCGAAATTGGTAATAATCGGATGAACGGTTTCAGAGTTATTGCCCTTGACTTAGTAAAAACGCGTTAAATTTGGCTCGTATGCATGATAAAGGCTGCAATTTTTTTATCTGATCTTGATGAAAGTTAGTATGCATGTATATAATGTTGAGATCTCGGTCAAGTTCGAAATTGGTAATAATCGGAAGAATGATTTCAGAGTTATTGCCCTTATATTAGTATAAACGCGTTAAATTTGACCTGTATGCACGATAAAGGCTGCAATTTGTATCCGATTTTGATGAAACTTGGTATACATGTATATATTGATGAGATCTAGGTCAAGTTCGAAATTGGCAATAATTAGATGAATAATCTTAGGTCTACTACCTTTGACTAAAAATACGTCAAATTTGGCTTGTAGGCACGATAGAGACTACAGTTTTTATCCGATCTTGATGAAACTTAGTATGCATGTATAAGCTTATATTGATAAGATGCTTGTAGTCATGGTACAGGGTGCAGTTTTTATCTAATCTCAATTAAACTTGGTATGCATGTATATTTTGATGAGCCCTCAAGTTCAAAAATGGTAATAATTGGATGAATGGTTTTGGAGTTATGGCCCTTGAATTAATTCAATGCGTCTAATTTGGCTTGTAGGCCTGCTTTTTATCCGATCCTAATGAAACTTGCTATGAGATCTTAGTAAAGCTTGAAATTAGTAACAATCGGATGACTGGATTCACATATAAAACCACTACAGACTTTGTTTTATCATTTCTGACAGCTGGTAGTGGGCGTATCTTACCTTGCCTGGCAAGCTATCTTTCTGAAACGTTCTAGTGCAGGATATCATTCCAAATAATTGAAATAATAGAATGGCAAATAATACTGTTAATGCTTAATAAATCTAAGGCGGTCACGTTAACGCCAGCAACAAGTGTTAATTTAGAAATAACGAAAATTGTTGCGATCAGCCTGCATATCATGTAGTCAATCCAAATTTCTTTGGTAAAAGAATCACTTGAACTGAATCGAACTCTTGTTCAGTGTTGTTGGGTTAATTACGACCTAGAAATGTAGATAGTGACTCGCAAATTCCATCTGTCGTTTGAGAGGCCATGGACAACTAAATTCCAAGTGTTTAATAGCTAAGGTTTTAACCATGGTTGATATAGGTCTTATTCCAAAAGTTAACTTCATGTGAAAGTATCTCATCAAAGGGGCATAAACGAGGACTGTTTTGATGATATAAAGTGGACCAATATTACATAATGGAACATTATTATTGATGTCTTTTATATCAAAAAACCGCTCCAATGGTGCCTGTCCACTTAAAGTGATAATGCGGATTTCGCTAAGAACACTGTAGATGTCCTATGATAAGGCCAGTCATGTATGTGTGAATTGGTCGTGGTCATGCTATACAGTCATTTTTGTTAATGCCCACTACAATAAAATCAATACCATAAGAGAGAATTATTTTGTCGGAAACGAACTTTTAGAGAGAAGTATTCCAATCATCCAATGTTTCCACACCCCTAACTGAAAAAAAGCCAAATAAATAAATACGCATGGACAAGAAATAACGTATATATTCAACGTCTTTGTGATTTTCATAACAAATTGCTTTAGATGCGCCATATTCGGGGGGTTATTTTAGTCTTGAACATATGTAAAGAGTGGCTTTGCCTAAAATTCCCGTTTCTGGAAAGATTGGTAGAAAATTGCACAGTTGTGAGTTGTTTCTTTGAAATTAACTAATTTTGGGCTATCTTTGTATATTAAGCATTCACAATTTAATATTACTATTTATTTTTAAATTAATGAACTCATTCAACTTCAGTTAATTTTAAACAAAAGTATTTAAATCTGATTTAATTGACAACAACTAAAGGAAGTGAATGCGATTTTTTTTACCTTGCGTTGGTAATTTTAGTACACGGTGTTGATGAGAGTAGGAATCTGAACAGATCAACCAATCATTTGAAATCCTTCTACCTTGTCATTATAATCAATATATTACTGTTAATTATTGATATGAATAAAACTATATAACTACAGATATAAACAGAGCTGAGCAGCAGTGTATGGAACTTCATACCGGCTTCAGTGCTGATATTGGTACTTTAATGTCCATTTATAATAGCTTTAAGGTTACTGACATACAACTGAAATATTGTACTACCCACAGTATAGGTTGAAAAGAGCGACGAGATAGGTAAGCTTCAAAATACATTTTAAGAATATCTAGAAATCTTAACGGTGCGTGTCGCACGGGGCAGACTTGAACATGTCACTGTAACTTACAGATTTCAGCAAAAGCTGGAAATTGAAAACAGCAATCAATACGTAAAATACAGTTTTATTTTATTAATATCTCCTGCAAACGTATAAGTTCTGAGAGTCCCAGGGCATAATTTTTACGTTATTACCCGACATGGATTGAGTATTATTTTATCAAGCAAAGTCGTTTTTAATACGACGTATTGGAATACACCGAGTTTCGAATTCTCCAGTTAACACATCTTTTGTGCTTTAGACAATATTGCTGTTTTTTTTAATAATCATTCGCTTCACATTTAATATAAAAAGAGAACATTCACAGGTTACTCACAAAAACAAAAGAATATATGACGCGAATGTTGCATATTTAATCGGGTATATAACATGATGTTGCAAGGATCGCTGATTTAATTATTTTTTTGTCATGTATTTATGATTGATAGGGAATAAATAAAAGCTTTTAGTCAGAATATATGACACCATTATTATTTAATAATCCAAGAATTATGACGGTTTCCTGTTAAATTGAACAGTTTTTAATAGAGTAATTGTTGAACATGCAATTGAACCATATTTCAATGTGAGTTTAATGAATGTAAATGATAGAAGGTATTTGAGATAAAAAAAAAAAGTGTTACCTATAATATTCTGTCAGTGCCATAAACTGATAAATGACTCGTCATCCTACGTCGGTGTGTTTTGTTACTTTGAGAACGAATTTTGAAAAAATAAAATAAATGTAGATTACTTAAATATTCTTGATCCGTGAGCAAATAAAAAAAGGGTGTATATTTGTATTTGCATTTCAAAACCGTTTCACAGGTGAAACAGGTTAATGGTATCAGATGTGGTTATTAGCTAAAATAATTTACAGGCAGTATTTCCTTTCAAAATTACCACCTGTTGCAATTGACCAGTGCCATTGGGCTGTTGACGTCAAAGCAAAAAAACGGCCATGAATGTGTTAATACATTGTATTAGAAATATAATCGGAACTCTCTTAATTGGAGCCGAAAAATAAAACACACATGCTTGTAGAAGGAAAAAGAAAATGAAACGTTTATCGTGGTACTGATGTATAAGGTGTCCATCATTAGCTGCCTATCTAAACGATTCAATCTCAATGAAAACTGTCCATTGTCAAAAAAAGATTATATGAAAGAATAGCACAGTAGCAAGCAAGCCACAATTGATTACAAGGTTAATTAAGATAAAACTAATTGTGCATTTAATCTAATATAAAATGTCAGGTTTTATTCCTAGAAAAAGGAAGGAAAATAGACAGAAGATAAAAAAGATATTCAGAGAGTATAGTGATTGCAGAGTTTAGGTTGTTTATTATATATTTCAAGTCGCTGTTAACAGTTTGTCATTTCGGTTGATGTCAGTCTTGTGGTTATGTTGAAATCATCTTGTAAATTCATGGCAAACTATCTCAATCAAAAGTATGATTTCATTATATTTAATATGATGGGTTCGCAGTACAATTCCGATTCCTGTATTTTGTGAACAAAATAGTAATTTTTTTCAGTTAAGGATTTCTCTTATTTGATCCAATAAGTATTTTTAGATTTGGTGCATTATTTAGTTTTGATCATACAAGAGTTGAAAGAAATATTACCAAATATGCGTAGGAATCATAACAATGTTATTTTGAATAAAATGATTCTTTTAGAGACATAATATAGAATGAAATGTGTGTCTTTTTAAGTATTATTTTGAGAAGTGTGCCCGTTAAAGCACTTTTTAGATGATTTTTCATTCATGAAAGAATAATTCTACTTAATGATTATGTTTTGTTGGTTTGTTTCCCTAATAAAACAGTAGAATTGTTATTCCGACTAATTGACCAATGGCTAGATAGTCTTTGCTAGGGGCAGTCGACAGATGACATACATTCATTTTGGTTTATCCACTTCGCTTATGATGTTTTTGTTTTACGATTATACTGTACCGTAACGGACCGTAAAATGGTAAAAACAGGAAGTTGTCTCAGACAGTTACAGATTGATGATGTCAGGTGTCGAAAAACAAGATTGTTGAAGTAATGTTTTCTAATAAATACAACTCTCATGTTTGTTGTTTCCGTAAGGTTGCAATTGCTATTAATTGGATATCAGGTGAGCGATCTATTGCAAGAAACATAAAGCATGAGCAATCGACGGTAACTGCAATATTTTAAATTAAACGAATGGTCAGATTCTCCCGCAGATGATAGCAGTCGTCGAAAATTTCAATTAGCAATCTGTACAGAATGCAGATATATTCAACAAGTTGAGGATGAACATCGTCTGTTTTAGCCCATTCTTTCACATCTTTGTAGTTACTGATATTTGTGCTTTTATTAATTTTTGGTATTAAGTTCTAATGATAATCTTGGATTTTTTCCAGAAATTCAGAAATTAATCAGATAATATGGAATTTATTTGGTCATTTATGTTATAAAACGTATTACTTTATTAATGTTGTCAAGAAGTTTCAATATCTAATGAAATAA